GGGAATATGTGTGCCATTCCCAGACCACGATATACCCCACTGGAGGGGATGAATGGCTCCAGGAATCTGGAGGAAAGGCTTGACATGCAGCCTGACTGCCACGCCTTCTAGAACAAGATCTGCACTGGCTTGCCTACTCAAGGGAGCTGCCAGCAGGCGTGGGCCATGCAGACACATTCTCAAAGCAGTCATGGAAGTAGCACATAGTCATTTTCATTGGCATAATGCCAGAAGTGCTGGGTATAGGAGCCCCAGGGCAGCCCTGCCAGCCTCAGGGGGCCTGTCCCAGACTACCCTGCCGCTCCCCACCCTCCTTCAGGCCGGACTCTTGGACACACAGCTCAACTCTTCCAGGGCTGAGCCACACCACTCCCCAATCCTGAGAGTCCTGGGGAACCCACCCTGTCACCCAGAGCAGCCACGCTGCTCATCCTTTTGTCGGGTCACAGTAAGTGACATGCCTTTTCAGGGTTGCAGTGTAGAGGGGGTTGCCATTAATGAACTTCAGCAGACACTGGGATCCTGCTAAAGAAGCAGAGTCGCCGCGTCACCCTTCACTGAAGGTCAGAGAAGCAGTGCCTGGCCCCTCCTTTCTCCCTCCAGGACCAGGGAAGAGGTGAGGCCTCTGGACCCTGTCAGGCCAGAGTCCACAAGTCCAGGTCTGGATGGGATGAGCTGCATTTATGTCTGACCATCTGGTCCATCCGAGCCCCCTCCATATGCACAGGGCTGGTGAGTGGTTTTTCAGAACTAGACTTTGCTTTCAGTGGAACAGATTTTGTTTTGGAGCAAGCTTGGCATGGTGGGCACACTGCTTGTCAGAACCAGGGTGAAGAAGTGAGCAAATGGGCTAGAGAGATGAGTGAGCCAGGCCCAGAGTCCACCGCCTTTGCTGGTATAGGCATGGTAGACTGCAAAATGGAGCCTTGCCGTGAGCCAAACACAAAGCCACCAAACAGAGCCTGACACAATCAGACCAATCTAATGAGTCATCTAGGTGTGGATAGGCCTCAGGGCCACCCAGAGCCAGGATGATCTTCATTCTGTCCACATCCCAACCCCAGTGACCACAGGGTTCCCTGCTCTGCGGTGAAGCTGCTGGGGTGAGCCTCGGACAGCCCCGTTGCTGTCTTCCCCAGGAGTGATTTAATCCCGACACAGGTTTCCACTAGGACCCAGCAACTAGGTGGTACCACCATGTGCAGGACAGCCTTATCCTCAATCTCTGCGTGGCTGCTTAAGTGTCAATCTTAGCTTGGTCCTAGCCAAGCTAAGGACCAAAGCCTTGTGGCTGCCAGGGGACCATGAAACTCTGGTGTAGACGAGGCTGGCCTCAGATGCAGAGCTGCCTGCCTCTGCCTCCCTCATGCTGTGGCTAAAAGTGTGTGCCAGCACACCCAGCTACTGTTCAGCTTTCAAGTGGGAACAGTATCTGACAAGGTGTGAAGTCAAGCTTCTGAGCCCCACGCTGTGTCCTTGCTCTGTGTCCTCAGCAAAGTGGAAAGCAGTGTGACAGTGAGGCGGGGAGTTGCCTGACTCAGATGTGGGTCCCAGCCTGCTGGCTGTCACCCGCTCCCGCGGTGGCTTTCCTTTTTGCCAGAGGAAGAGAGATTTAACTTGAAACCCTGCGAGTAAAATGTGTAGCTGCCTCGGGCATCTGGGAGGCCTGTTAAGTACCAGGCTGGGTCAGAATAGTGCAGTGTAAGGAACTCTGGGCAATTGCATCCTTCTAAGCTGCTATTGGGAGCAGCAGGACCCACCCCTGAGAGCCCTGAAAGCCCCAAAAGTTACAGGGAAAATAAGCCCATGATTAGGCTTAACGAGCTCCACTCGACCTAGACTTAGGCTTTTCTGAGCCTCAGTTTCCCCATTAGGGGAGGTTCCTACCAACTGTGACTCATTGAATTCTTAAAACCTATAAAGAAAAGAAGAAAAGGTAAATAGTCCCAGTTTTACTGAGGCTTAGCTCAGTCAGCAGAATGCTAACTAGTGCAAAGCCCTTAGTTTAACCCTGAACAGTGCAGAAACGGTGTGGTAGCACACCCATAACCCCAGCCACTGGTCCGTGGGAGCAGGAGGACCCCAGGTTCAAAGTCATCCCCAGGTACATAAAGAAGACTGGGGATGTAGCCCAGGGAAAGGGTCCTTCGCTAGCAGGTGTGAAGCCCTGAATGCGACCCCAGACAGGACAAAACTCTGGCTTATATAAGCAATGTATGTTCGCTGGAGGGGATCTGGAAAAAGAAGCATAAAGAGAGAATCACCTGTTAACCCACCGCCCACGGCCGACTGTTCTGGGGGTTTTTCCATACATAATCTGTGTGGGATCTCAGTACGAGCTGTTTTATAACCCATGCTTGCTTCTCTGCTTCCCTGGTCTGTCTCTACAGACAGCACTGTGAAGTTTGCCTGCACTGAGTAGGAGGAGTGGGGTTGGCTGAGGTGGTGTTTTTGTTTTGTTTTGTTTGCAGGTAAACAAAGCAGCTCTGACCAGTTCATTCCTGCTCTAAGCAGTTGTGTCTCCTGGTTATTTCGAAGTCTTCCTGGGCCAGTGTCTACAAATTCTACCAGCACCAAGGTGGAGGCTGGGAGGTTCTAGTAGCATTGGCGGGGGGGGGGGGGGGGTTGGAGGTCAGGAACCCTACTCGTGTCTCAGTGGCACACGAGAAGAGTTCACAGAACTAGCACTTAACCTGTTTTTACAGAGGCTTATTTGGCTGTTGTGTGAGACATTCTGAGGGGGGAAAAAAAGATGTCTCAGTGGACAGAGCATTCACCCCATCAAGGACCACCCCAAGCAGTGTTAGTGGCTCCAACTTAAATCCTTCTCTGGCTGTTCCTGGCGAGAAATCAGGGTGTTCCCAGGCGTGCAGGATGGGCAGCATCACTAGGGTGCCCCAGGGAGCTAGGCCTCCACCCCTGCTGCCTAGGAGCACAGAGGCCTCCTCCCTGCACCCACCCCCAGGTTCCACCCCAGCAGAGCGAAGCCAAGCTCAGTGACTTCATTTGAATCTGAGATCCAGAGCAAGAAAGAGGAAGGCTGTGTGAACTTCGGAAGTCCCGTATGTCTGGTGAGTGCAGGCAGGAGCAGCCATCGGAGGCCATGTGTACAAACCCTGTTTGTGCCGAAGTCCAAGTCCATGGCAGTTACAGCAGCACATAGAGCACAGCAGAGAGAACACAGGCACCAAATTCTCCTGCCGGTTGGGAGAGTTTGGGGCAGGAAACCCAGAGCCCAGGAGAATCCTGAGGTTCTGAACCTACACAGAGGCCAGTAAATGGCCTGTGGTCAGGGTGCAGCTCAGTGCAGAAGGGACTTGGGACAAGGTATCCAGGTTACCCTCTCCAGTCCCCTCACAGGCCCTGCCCGGATAGTGATGTAGAGATTGGCTGGTCTAAGATGCTCATGAGAGTCACTCCCTGGAAAACGCAATCTTTGCAGACCGGGCTCTGCCTACTGGGACCTTGAAGAATGTGTGGTGAGGCCTGCATAGACGAGTTGGGTTTCTGACTACAGCTCTCTGCATCCTTAGGGTTTGGTAGGGGAGAAAGATGCTTAGTGCTGTGCCCGCTTCCAATGGGACAGGGTCTTGTCCCAGCCACAGTCGGGGTAATTGGCCCAACCCCGCTGGTGGCAAGGGGGCTGAACCAGCAGGAGAACCTTCTGGGTTCGAGGGACAGGAGTTTGGGCAGTGAGTGTTCCAGGAGGGAATTGCATAGGCCTGGGGTAGTTACAGGGAAAGGATCTCATTGCAGGGAACTGTGTACCACCTCCTGTCGTTCCGGTTTTTGGGGTGCAGCAGCAGACATGGAGAGTTTTGACCATACATGTCCCCCTGCGCCTCTGCCCCTGTCTCATGGCCTGCACCCTTCCCTGTCAAAGACTCACTTCCTTTTTCTTCGTGGAGATGGCTTGAAGGGCTTTTTGTCAGACTGACGTCTGCATTGCAGCTGAACCAGCCCCCATCCTGGCCTTCCTGACAGAAGGAACTAATCAGGACATCCAAGGAGAGGAGTACTATCCCTGGACACTAAGGAGGCATGCAGAGACCCCTGGTCCACTGCACTGTCCGGACCTGCCCTGACCTGTGCCCAGACTGCCCACCCAGTATGGTGGATGCCCTTCTAATTCTGACATTAAGTATTGCACAGAGCTCAGATCCTGCACTAGGGCCCTCCCTAGCCTGCACACCACCTAGATGAGACTGTAGCTCACAGCTCAATTCTGCCTCCCAGCATACTGGTTCTAGGCCTGGAGATCTTTAGTGGGCAAGCATGCCATACCCATGACCAGTAGGTGGCAGCACAAGACTCGTCTTGGAAGAGGCTCTGTGGGGGTGGGGAACTGTGTAGTCCCAGCCCCTGGGTTGACGTGGTCCTTTCTCAGCTTTTAAATGTAGGCCAGACCCTTTCACAGGGCCCAGCCAGGATAAGCCACAAGGAAGACAGCTCTTTAGATAGATATCTCAGCCTTTTGCTGGGGCTCCTGATGTGAGCCTTGGAATCCCTTTCCCTTGACTTGTGCATGGGTCGCTGTCCTGTCCCCTAGATGACGTGGCAGAGTGGGAGCAGAGGGAGGCCTCCTCCCAACCTCCAGGGCCCTGGAGAGCAAGCTGCAAATGAAAGGGACTGGACTGGAGGGCCCTGCCGCACTCTGGAGGGAGCTGGAAGGGGTGGAGAGGATTGTTCGAGCTGGCGTAGGTGTTAGAGAGGGATGAGTCTGGAGGGGAGAAGGGGTGGGACCTCGCATCTTCAGGCTGCTGGGAAGACAGAAAGGAACTGGGATGTGTCAGGGCTCTGACTTGCTCCCTGGCTGGAGCTGAGGAAATAACTAGGCTCCACCCTGCAAGCAGTTGTGTCCTTAGATGCTCAGGCAGCCAGAGAGCCTGAAGAGGCCCTCCCTCCTCCTCCACCATATATGCCTAACATGCCATCCTTCAGTTGACACACATGGCCAGGCCAAACACAGGGATCACTGTCCCTAGGAAAGGAGGCACAACTCAAGAGACAGGGCAGGCCAAACCCTACTTTATTTCAGTGTCAGCAACAGCTTAGCCATCAAAAAATAAACTCTACCCAGGGCGACACAGGTCTCTACAGCGAGGCTAAGGGCTCAGCCGCCAAGCGGCAAACATCAAACATCGGGGATGCATGGCGGGCACTGCCCGGGTATTAAGTTAGGAAGCAGCAGCAGGCTGGTGGTGGTGAGGGCCGGGCTTCACTTCTGGGCAGGCATGAGGTCATCGATAGTCTGACCCTGCTCAAGCCGCTGTTCCATCTCGATGAGTAGTTTCACTCCGTCCACCACCATTTGCACGAGCTCCACCTCGGAGAAGCCCAGGCGGTCCGAGTTGGAGACGTCGAAAACTCCGCCGACGGCAGCGGTGTCCACACCACCTGGGGACAGGGAGACAGGCAGGTCGGCAGGACGGAGGAAGCCTGACCCTCTGCCCTCCCCCGCTCTCTGTGCAGCCTGCCCCTCACCTGTGCCTCGCTTCTGAAGCCGCAGGCGCTTGAGCACCTCCGAGAACTTCTCGTGCTTCCCCAGGTGGGGCAGCTTGATGTGCACACCTGCGCGCAGCCCGGTGCCCAGGTTGGATGGGCACGTGAGGATGTAGCCCAGGTGTGGGTTCCACATGAACTCGTAGTTCTTCGACTTGAAGAGAGTTTCAATCTGGAGGTGGAGAAAGTTCGGGGGAAACCCTGGCTGGAAGCCCTAAGGGACCCCGAGAGAACTGGACTCTGGGGTCTGCCCCAGCCCTCCCAGGCACCAGCCCTCAGGGAGGACGGGCCCTGGATGTGGGCCCATGCCTGACCTGGGTGAGGCCAGTGCAGAACCGGGTGAACACTTCCTTCATGTTGCCCCCCTTCTGCATGGAGATGACCCGCAGGTGGTCCTCCTCGTTGATCCACACCAGGAAAGTCTTGTTGTCATTGTGCCTGGGGGAGGGGTACAGTCAAGCCGAAGCTCCCCTCCCCCAAGAATACAGTCTTAGCTCACATCCAAGACACCGTAGGTGGTGACCTCAAAGAGCTTCATGGAGGTGCGGGCTGTCACCAAGACTCCCAGCTCGGCCACCAGGGAGGGCAGGGCGACCAGGGCACCTCACCCGCCCCGGTCACCAACCACGTGGTGTGGCAGGCAGGGCAGCCCACCGAGGAGGCACACCTCCGCCCTCACAGTCCGCAGGGTGTAGGCGCCCTGCCCGGACGGACGACCTGTGCCGGGGCTTTTGCGTCACCAGCACCTGGCAGAATCCCGGCGGGGAAAGGGAGTGAGGAGGAGGAAAACAAGAAGCGCCGGCTCGGCTCCCAGGAGACCGGTCACCACCCTTAAATCCCTGGAGAATGCGGCCTCCTGCGGCGCAGGGACCTCACACACCTGCGGGACCAAGGTCACCTGCGCCGAGGGCTGGGACCAGGAGCTCAGGCCCGGCCCCACCCTCCGAGCAGAGGGGGAGGGCTCGTACCATATGCCGCGAGCATCCGGCCAGTCGCGGGCCATGCCGGAGGCCAGCAGCAGAGGCGACACAGGCTTGTCGAAGAGGAAGTGGTCGTCGATGAGCTGTTGCTGCTCCGCTTCGGTCATGCTCTTGAGCGCGTAGTACCTGCCTGACAGGTCTCCATCCAGGCTGGACAGGGCTGCGGAGTGCAGAGTTCAAGGCCCGGGTGGGGAGCGAGCCCGCCGCCCCACCCCAGGCAGTGTGTGTCCCCGCGCGAGGCCGGACCTTGGACCCTCAGTCCCCTGGGGGAACACGCGCGCAGACAAGAGCGCAGCTGCTCTGCTGGCTGGCACCGGACCCCTACCTTCTACTGCCAGCTTCTCGATGGCGCGGCGCTCCCCGCGACTGCAGTGCGGGGGGAGACAGAAGCCGCGGATGCTGCGGCCCGTGCGCACCCGCGAGCTCAGCACGTAGTTGGGGTCCAGGTCATCGCCGCCCTGAGGACGCAAAGCGGTGGCGGGAGTGAGCGCCGAGGTCCCTCTTCCCCATCACGCCCTGACCCGGCGGCCCCGCACCTGCAGGTTGTCTGGGTTGAGGTCGGTCTTGTGCTCATCGCTGGGCTGGTAGCCGCCGTGCCGGTCCTCGATGATGGGGTCGAAGAGGTCCTTGAACACTTCGTAAGTCTCCTCGTCGCCCGCCACTGCACCCACAGTCATGATGTACGGGTGGCCTGGGGGAGGGGCGCGGATACAGTGACGTCACCGCCAGGCTGCAGCGAGCTGCGGAGACCCCTGCGGCTGAGCGCGGGAAGGGGATGAGGGGACCCCAGCCCGCCGGAGGTTGAGGGAAGGGCAGTGGGGTCCTTGCCCTGGGGTTCCTTGGGGAGACGGGAGCCAGCCCCTTACAGGGGTTGTGCATACCCGGATTGTCTACGCCCGTCTGAATGGCGTCGTCCAACGTGAAGCCGCTTGGCGTGCACTTGGCACGGAGCTCGGCGTACAGCTCGGGGGTCAGCACCTTGGCCATATGGTTGTTATGGCTGCTCAGATCAGGGAACTCATCCTCGGCCGGAAAGCGCAGCTTCTGCGTATTATGGCTGTTGGAGAAGGGCATGGCGGCGGCGGCGGCGGGCTGCAGGGAAGCGCAGGGTCAGAGGAGCTCTGCGCACCGGCCTCCAGGGGCCTGCAGACCTCTCGGGACCCCGGTGGCTTCCCCCGGACGCCGCCAAGGTCAGCGGGGTCTACGTCCTCTGCGCCCGGCGCCAGCGCATCCCTAAGTCCCCTGTGGCTCCGGTGCACGCTCCCGGCAGCACGGCCACGCTTGACGCCCCGGTCCCGCACCCCTCCGCGTGGCACCCCGCGCGGCCACCCGACCCTTGGACCCGCTCACCGGGATGCCGGGCAGAACGGAGGCGCAGAGTGCCTGAGCAGCTCCTGGCGCAGCACAGACGAACAGCGGAGGCTTGCTGCTCCCGAGCTCTTAAGGGGCGCGTCGCCAGCCGCTCATTGGCGGATATTTATAGCCCATTCATTCCATTGGCCCGCGCTTTAGGGTGGTGCCGCTGCTTTGTCCCTGGCAGCAGCCCTCAACACCCCCTAGCTACCCACCCTAGCGGTCCCGGAGTCTGGACCCCGCGCAGCTTAACTGTCCTCGCGGTGACCGCACAGGATAAGGAAGGCGGAACCCCAAGGCCTTAAGTATCCTAGACCTTCCTCATACACTCTGCCTTGGGGCGGGAAACTGAGTCTGGAGAGCCAGCTGGGGCCCCTGCCTTTCCCTCTTCCTGCCTTGTCTGGCAGGCTGCGATGGGGAGGGGGCCTGACAAGAGCTTCCATGTTAAAGACATTAGGCAAGGCGTCCATCCACTGCATCTAGGCGGTACGAAATGGCACAGAGCCACTGACCTTCCTCAAGGTGCCCGCGGGCATCTCCCGGTGGCGCCGCAGTCTGGCTGTGGTCCAGCCCAGAAGCACCCAGGGTGTTCTAACCTTGAGCGGGCTCTAAGAAACCGAGCCAACACCCTTGGACCTAGACCCTGAAAGATTCAGGACACTTAGCTCTGAGGGGCTGTGTTTAAGTATCCAAACCTCCGTCCCCTGGCCCTTTCCTCAGGGGACGGGTTCCTACCACCCCACCCACAAAGACAGCACCTTCAGTCAGCAGGCAAACTGGGAGTGGAGAAAGCATCAGCCAAAAATAAGTTTGCTAATCGGAACCAACACAGTAGACCCAGGTATGGGAAATTGTAGAAGCCTGACCCCAGACACTGCCGGCTGTGAGTTGGAATGTGTGAAGACAGGCGTTTGCACCCCGCCTGCAGCTGCCAGCCACGTCATCTTTTCTGGAAAGTAATTTGGCAGTATTTATTAAAATTAAAAATAAATGGTCTAGCTCCATGACCTATAACAATCGCAGGAATTCTAGGAATCCAGCCTATAGAAAGGACAGTATCCCTTCTCTGCAAATAGATCAGGAACTATGTAGTGGGAGAGACAAATTCAGATGGCCTGATGCTCATCTGTGAGGAGGGGAACACTGGCCATTGGTAGAAAAAGGTGCAGAATGGTCCATAAAAGTGCAGACATGAACTTAATGTCCTCTCCAGCCCCTCACTCACTCGCCGCTGCATGAATAAAACAAGAACTAGGGAACCTCTCATCCTTGCGCATTTGACAGAATTCCTCCAGTCATTTCACAGTGAGACAGTCCAGGTGCCCAGGTGCAGGGAACACAGGAGCTGTGCAAGGGGCCAGGACCCTGCTTTTTGTCGGAGGCAGGCTGCCCTGAGCAAATGACTGCAGGAGGGTGACAGGAATTCCAGGCTTGAGAGATAATATGCAGGTGCTTCGGCAGAAGGCTCTGGAGCAAAGAGCTCGGGGCTCTGCCTGCCTGCCTCTGCCGGGGGAGCATGGGAAGCCCACAACTGTGTTTTCCTCAAAGCTACCCACCTGCTCTCTCATTCGCCTTGGCCAGCCTCAACCTCTTCTGTTTTGAGACAAGAGCCTGTAAACCAGGCTCCGCCTGTCTCAGCCTCCCCAGTTCTGGTATTACAGGGTTGAACCACCACACCCAGATCAAGTCACTATTTTTAGGCCAAATAAAACAACTCCATGTAAGAAGGTATGCACTGGGCATGGTGGTGCCCAGCTCCTTTAACCTCAGCACTCAGGAAGTAGAGGTAGGTGGATTATCTGTGAGTTAAGGCCAGCAGAGTCAACCCAGTGAGTTCTGGGGACAGCCAGGATTACATAGAGATACCCTGCCCCCACCCCAAAGTATATGGAGGCAAGCATGGGTATGGTGGTAACAGGGACCTATTAGTCCAGCTCATGGGAGGTGGAGGCAGGAAGGTCAGGAGTTCAAAACCAGCCTGGGCTCCATGAACTACTGTCTCAAAAAGGAAAAAATAAAATCCATTGGCTAGACAGCAGGTGTTCCATAAGCCTGTAATTCCTGTATCTATGCCCCTCAGCCTCTCAGAAATGTCTGCAGCTGCCCACCCAGTACCTACTCATGTCAGGGAAGCTGGTTCTGCTTGAGCCGCAAGTGCTCAAGTTTCTGTTTGTAGAAATAGAGAAGCAAACATCGTGTCCAGGGTGGGGGAAGGGGGCTCAGGGCTTCCTCTTTGTCCCCAGCATTTGCAGTTTCTCAGTCCCCTCCCTTACCTGCCTCCCATCTCCCTGCCTGGAAAAGGCCAGAACTCTAGTAAAGGTGAGACAGAAGGCAGGGCTGTCCACTCTAGCAGGGAGCCACGCCCAGCTCTGGAACAGGCCCCTGTGGCCTTTAGTCCCATTCCACTACGGAAACAGAAAGGAAGATCGGCTGCTGAGATAAAGACATGTTGGCTCAGAGGTCCGGGTATCCCCAGTGGTCCTAGGGTGCCTACCCTCGGGGTGTCCCCAGTGGTCCTAGGGTGCCTACCCTCGGGGTGCTGTGCGGATTCGCAGAGCAGCATGGCTGGCAGCTGTAGCAGACACATGGACAGGGAAGACATGCAGGGGCCACAGTATCAATGTGAGGCCCTCACGGGGCAGGATTGGGGGTTGCTTGGAAGCCCAGGAAGTCCTCAGAGCAAGGGAGCAAGGTGAATGCCTGCTAACCCAGCCTAGACCTGACTGTGGACGACCCTCTGCTCTCCTTGGGAATCACAGTAGCTGGTTTGTCAGCTGTGGGTGACCATAAAGATGGCTGCACTCCATCTTGGCACAGTGACAGAGTTCAAAGCTGTCAGCAAGTCTCAAGACCTAAAGGTCAAAGGTGTGACTACAGAAGGATGTTTTAGCTGTCTTAGTCTAAACAACAGACCTGAATCTGAGGTGTGGCTACTCCTGACTGTCAAGGCTAAGGGAGGAGAAGCTGGATGTGAGGTATGGCTACTCCTGACTGTCAAGGCTAAGGGAGGAGAAGCTGGATCTGAGGTATGGCTACTCCTGACTGTCAAGGCTAAGGGAGGAGAAGCTGGATCTGAGGTATGGCTACTCCTGACTGTCAAGGCTAAGGGAGGAGAAGCTGGATCTGAGGTATGGCTACTCCTGACTGTCAAGGCTAAGGGAGGAGAAGCTGGATCTGAGGTGTGGCTACTCCTGACCTCAAGGCTAGGGAACAAGAAGCTAGAGCTAAGGTGTGGTTATTGAACCCTTGGAAGAGTGAGGAAGAAAAGTCTGTTCCCTATACATGATACTGTGTTCCACATTTTGGTTATGGCATATAAGAGTGGCAAAAAATAAACTCGTGGCATTTCAGTATTGACTGATCTGCCCTCCTGACCTTTATTCTGTCTCTATTATCTATAGCTAGCCTTTCCTTCATTCACACTCCCCCCCCCACTCAGGTACAGACTTGGGGCGGCTTGGCTGGCTCTGATCGAAGCCCCACAAAGACCGCTCCCAACAGGCAGCTTCCAGACAAGAAGCTGGGTGACATCAGGAGATTTATGGTTCCATCTCCTTAGAAATCACACCAAGTCATACATGAACCACAGGGCCTGGAAGGGTTCTCAAAGGGCTCCCGAGTCCTTTATTCACACAGCATGATCCAGCCCAGCAGGACATGTGCAAGCGCAGACAGGGCCAGGCTCTGCGTTCCCACAGAGGCCATCCTTATCTGTGACCAGAGTGCATGGCTTCCTCTGGGCTCATTTGCTCATGGAATGGAAAGGGGAAATTGGCAAGGGTCAGGAGGACACAGTGAAACAGGAGGCTGTGCCAGTCAGAGGGACTCTTGTTTTGTTTTTTTGAGACAGGGTTTCTCTGTGTAATATTTCTGGCTGTCTTAGAATTTGCTTTGTAGACCAGGCTGACCTCAAACTCAGAGAACTACCTGCCTCTGCCTCCCGAGTGCTGAGAATAAAGGTGTGCCACCACCACCTGACTCAGAGGGAACTCTTGGCAACCCAGACCCTGCCAAAGGTGCAGGTGGAGCAGACTCCCCCAAGGCATCTTAGCTCCTTTATGCCCAGGCTGTTCTATTTCCTGTTCCCCCTTCAAGTTCTCTGAGGCTTTAAACTCCAATCACAGGGATCGTGGTGACACACACCTTTAATCCCAGTATTTGGTAGGCAGTGAAAGCTCTCCCAGCCTGAGGCCAGCATGGACTACATAGTGAGTTCCATGCCAGCCAAGGCTACATACATTTGTCTCAAAGGCAAATTTCAATACTGTTTGAACCGTGTTGTGTGTATGATGTTAGGCAAGTTAGCCACCTATTCCTCATCTATAAAGTGGTCATAAAATTGTAGGGGAGGATTCAGTGACATGACAGTTAGCTGGATGTGTGCAGCTAACCCTGGGAAACTCCAGCAGCAGCAGCAGCAGCTAGGGTCTAAGGGAGGCTGAACTAGGCATGGCAGACCGCTAGCTCTGACAAGGTGGCCTGGAGAAGGGACAGGGGAGGGACTAATGGAAATACCCTGTCGAGTTCATAGGCTGGGTGGAGACAGTCAGGCCTGGTCTCCATGCTGCTGAGAGGCTGGGGAAGAGGAACCTTCCAGGAGAAGTGGAAAGTCTTAACTCTCCAGAGAAGCAATTAGGGTGTGCATTGGGCTGTGCACCATCAAGGGAGTGAAGTAGTCTACCAGAAGAGAGGTTGTGGAGTCAAGGGTAGGGCTGGGGTGTAGCTAAAAGCTGTGACTCCACAGGAGACCAAAAGAAAAAAAAAAAAAAAAAAAAAAAAAACCGCCTCATTGCCTATCCTTCCAAGCTACCAGATCAAGGCCAGCAAGGGTAGAGACCGGAAGCGGTCTAATGTCAGGTTCTGGATTTCAAAGGCAAGGACCTCACACAGGTTGGCTTAGTCTGGTCCCAGAGATCCCTACAAGCCAGTAGGACTCTAGAAAAGGCATGCTCACGGGGCTGGGTCACGCCCATTTTTACCAGGCCACAGGAGCCTGGTGGCTGTGGAGTGCAGCCCGCAGGGGCCCCTGCTCCGTGGTCTCAGGCCTCCAGTCTCTCTACCCCATCCCTCCTCCCCTCCCCCTGCACACTTCCACTCCTCTCCGGGGGAAGAACCTTCCTTCACGAGGAGCCCACGGAGTTCTGAATCAGCTCTGCTGAGACAAAGCACCCCTACAGCTTCCCCTTTGCGCTGGTCTCCGGCAGGCCCTCCCCCAGGCCAGGGATGGTAGGAGGGGAGGCCAGCTGTGCCTCCCCTCGGGCCGGACGTGGCACAGGGGCACTGGCCAAAGCCTTTGGGCACCCAGCCTCTGCTCTCGGGTCCCACTTCCCACGGTCCATCCTGGAGTCCAGTCAGGGTGTTTCGGAGCTGTCTGCAAAATCAAAATGTTCTGGTGGGTCCTAGTAGGGCGGCCCTGGGGCTGCACAGCTGTCAAAGTCAGGCACAGCTGGCGGGCGGAAGCCCCAAGCCCTGGACACCCCTCAAGAGCAGCTCGCGCACAAGCCGCTGCCGAGGAGGGGACTTTTATTTTGCACAGAGCTCAGATCTCTTAGGCAACGCGCAAGTCTGCACGGAAGGCCACAGGAGCGGAGCCGCCAGCCAGGAAACGTCCTCTGGGAGCACGCAAAGGGCAGCGCCGAGGCTCCCGGCGATCCCTGCGCTGGCGCTGACGGCATCAAAAAGCACCGGAAGCGTGGCAGCCGCGGCGGAGCCACGTGTGGAGCAGAGAGCCGGCGTGGGCTGGGTGAGTTTCCGAGCTGGGACCACGCGTCTCGGGCGGGAAAGGCGCTCCGGGCTCGCCTGCAGGCCCCGTGCTGTCCCGCGGGGGCCGCCCGGGGACTCTGGGCTTGCAGCAGGCTTCTCCCCGCTGCTGGAGCTCGCCTCTCAGGCCGCCGCCTTCACGGCTGGGGAATGGGGAAAGCCTGTCCCGGTCTACCTTTGCGCACTCTGTCTTGTGTCCTCCCAGACCTAGAAGGGCTCCACAGGCCAGGCTGGAGCGCAGCTCTGTTGGTTCGCCCGACCAAGTCAGCTACCCGTACCCACCCTGCCCGGAGCAAACCACAGACCCTCATCCTCCCTGCTGGTCCTCCGACCTCACGCCCGCACGCCACTTCCCCAGGTCCCTGATACTTGCTACATGTTAACACCACCATGAGCTTCGTGGCATACGAGGAGCTGATCAAGGAAGGCGATACAGCCATCCTGTCACTGGGCCATGGCTCGATGATGGCAGTGCGTGTGCAGCGTGGGGCACAGACCCAGACCCGGCATGGCGTCCTGCGGCACTCGGTGGACCTCATTGGCCGCCCGTTTGGCTCCAAGGTGATCTGCAGCAGAGGCGGCTGGGTGTATGTGCTTCACCCCACTCCTGAGCTCTGGACAGTGAACCTTCCCCACCGCACACAGATCCTCTACTCCACCGACATTGCCTTGATCACCATGATGCTGGAGCTGCGGCCCGGCTCTGTGGTCTGTGAATCAGGTGAGCCCCTCTGCTGCCTCCAGAGCTGAGCACCTACGTAAAAGTGGAGTCAGACCCACCAGAGTTAAGACCGTTTGCAGCTAACCCTTCCTTGCACGTGTGTGCTGAATTACTTGGTTTGGTGGGGGAATGGAGACAGAACCGAGCAATCACGTCTGTTGGAGACTGACCTGGGTTGGAGAAGGGAAAGGAGGCGGCCGCGGTGGTGCCTTGTGCATGAGGGTCTTGGCTTGCTGTGATGTGTAAGGGCTAGGCTTGCTTGGTGCTGGCCAAGGTGCTGACCACTCATATCTAGTCCAGCTGTCCCTTTCCTGAGGGCGGTTAATAACCCCAAGAGCTCATTGTAGTGAAAATTCTGCCCACACCCATTCACAGCCAGGCCCTTGCCTAGTTTCAGCGGCGATTAGCAGCACTGTCACTGAGGTTGGTAGAAGTGCCTGGGAGCTGTCTGTCTGTCTCATACACACCCCTGGGTGCTGTGGCCGCTTTGAGCAGCAATCTAGGCATGTGTCTCCAACAAGAATGATTCCTTGCTAGATCCTTGGTGGTGTTTTTCTGTTGGGCTCGGGAGTCATGAGAGTCCCTGATCTCCGTGTTGCTGGCTTTCTCTCCCTTCAGAGGGACAGCAGAATTCAGAGCCAGCCCTAACAACTCTCCACGTCCTGCAGCAGGGACTACCCTCCCTCAGGCCCTCATCCCTTTTCAGTCAGCAGCCCACTCCTGTGCTCCCGTGTGGTACCAAGTTCCTGCCTGAAAAGACAGGACGGGCTGTGAACCTGGTGACCATTCGGTGCTGCCGTCGGTGAAACTTACACTCAGGAACGCTTGCTTGAGGGTGACTTGGTGGGAGTCCCCCGATCTCAGGACGTGACCTTTAGGTTAAAAATGGTGAGGTACTCCCAAAAGCCAAAGAAGAGTTGTGCAAATGCCCTGGGGCAGGGGGAGGTAGGGGTATGGTGCTGGTGGCCCTGGCAGGAAGACGGATGTGGCTGGAGCAGGAAGTGAGGACAACCTGCAGATAGAGGGAGGGATCTGATGCATGAGGCCCAGAGGTGGGAGAAGGGATCACCTGCTTGGAGGTGGGTGGCTGAAGAGTCTGGCCCCTGCGGTGGGGGTGACTTCCTGGGTCTTGGGGTGATTGGACTTGGGTGGGGTCCAGCTTTGATGGGCGCGCACTTCTACGGTGTGTTTAAGAGGGCACATTGCCTGAGGGGGCAGTTATGGGGTGAGTGGGGACAGGCTAGCCCACGTCCTGGAGTATACGGCGTCAGTAAAGAAGGACAGCGGGCTTCTAAGGGAGAGTGGAGGGTTTGAGGGGAGGTAGATAGAGCCCATGGATTGACTGTGGTAGAAGAGGCTAGGTCAGGAGAGAACAGGCCAGCATCAGCCCTGCCCAGACTCACCTGTGCAGGCCGCAGCGTATGTGCTTCTGACTGGTTCTGTCCGCACTGGGTAGGACTGCCCCCAGCCCAGCATCCCAGACCCAGGGCTGAGGCTGCCGAGCGCAGACGTGGAGCTCATAAAACCATCGGTAGCCACCTGTGGCCCCAGGGTCAGCTGTACTCTTGGGCGTGCAGAGAGGGAGCTGTTCCTGGGTGGCTGTGGGTCCTCAGGTGACCCCTCCCATCTGTCCTGCTAGGCACTGGCAGTGGCTCTGTCTCCCATGCGATCATCCGCAGCATCGTCCCCACTGGCCACCTACACACCGTGGAGTTCCACGAGCAGCGGGCAGACAAAGCCCGGGAAGAGTTCCAGGAGCACCGGGTGAGCCAGTGGGTGACCGTGCACACCCAGGATGTGTGCCGCAGTGGCTTCGGTGTGACCCGTGTGGCCGATGCTGTCTTCTTGGATATCCCATCGCCCTGGGAAGCTGTGGGCCATGCCTGGGACGCCCTCAAGGTTGAAGGTGTGTCAGTGGGGTTGGGAAGGGCACCGGTGGGGGCTGAGCTTCTGGGTCATCCAGAACCCAGAGAGACCCAGGTTCCTGTGGGCCCCACAGTACCAACTGCCAGGCCCAGACTCCTTTCCTTCCAAAGTGAAGGCTGGCTACACAGCAGGGCTCTGGGAAGATGGGTCCCATTCTTTAGCCAAGATAGGAGCTCACTGAGGCCCTGGGGCCTTGGCAACCCCATCCAAGTGCAGACAGGATTTGCATGACAGGACAGGCCTGGATTCAATATGGAGGTCATAGGCGGTACCCTGCCCCCAGCCATTTCCTGCAGACTCCCTACACCCATGCTGTAGAGCCAGGCAGCTGGACCCTTTTAGGGAAGATGCTGTGTGGGCGGAGCAATGGGGAGGCCTGGAGAAGGTCGGCCCAGAGCCAGAGGCGGCTGGTGAGTCCCAGGGATTTTGCCTTTTCTGGAGAAGCAGCATGCTTGGCAGCCAGGACTGTTCTCCCAGCACCCTACAGAGGGCGGAGGGAGCCTCTCAGACAGGCAGGAGCCCAGGCCCTCCGGCTGCCTCAGGGTCTGCTTAGATCCCTGTGTCCCTCATGTCTGCTAAGGTGGCTTAGAGCTGGTCCACACCTGAAGGCTCCCTGACGCAGGGCCCTGGCTGGTCCAGGCAGGTGAACCTCCTTGCAGTCATCCAGGGGTACCTGCGCCTGGTTTGTGGTCCCGTGTCCCCTCTCCCGGGCTTATCCCCAGATCTTCACGCTCTGGGTCCTTAGGTGCCTTTTGTTGTGTGCCTGGTGTTTTCTAACACGGCCTGTCTCTGGTGGCTTCTGGAAGTTTGGTATGTGGTGTTTGCTGCTCTTCAGTGACAGTGGGCTCTCTGCACTGATGTCAGGCCGCCTCCTGTCTCATACCTGCCAGGTGTCCTGTGTCAGGGAGCCCAGGGACATTTGTGCGCACTCCTTCCCTGCGGAGATGCGGAGAGGGCACTCACTGTCTGGGCCGGCTGTGAGGCCTGTGGGCTGCCCCGGTGGGAGGCTGCAGGGAGGAGCTCAGACTGTGCTCCCTTCAGGCCCCTCCTGTTCCCAAGAGCCAATGACAGCCTCTAATTTCCTGTGACAGCAGCAGCCCACACACCGCCCTATGCTACCCTATTGTTAGAGCTATTCTTGGGCCTGGCTCTGACAGCCCTGACCCCCAGCCCTCCATGCCTCCTACAAGGCAGGCTGGCGATGCCTGCTGGCAGGCAGGGAAAGCCAGGCATCTAGGGCTTAGCTTGGGCTTGACTGCTGACCTGGGCCCCTGCCCCAGTGTGGGCCAGCCGGTAGGGTACAGCTTCCCAAAGCCCCAGCGTAGCTCCTTGGCTTACAGCCTGCAGGCGCCAGCCTCAGGCCCTGGGTGGGCTGTGGGTGCTGCTGGCCCTGCCCTCTGACCCCGTTCTTGCTCCTCCAGGTGGACGCTTCTGTTCCTTCTCCCCATGCATTGAGCAAGTGCAGCGCACATGCCAGGCGCTGGCAGCCCACGGGTTCACAGAGCTCAGCACGCTGGAGGTGCTGCCGCAGGTCTACAACGTACGCACTGTCAGCCTGCCCTTGCCTGACCTGGGGGCCGGTGGCTCCGAGGTCAGCGTGGGCTCTGATGCCGGCCCCTTCCGCAGTGGCACACCCATGAAGGAGACTGTGGGCCACACCGGCTACCTGACTTTTGCCACCAAGACTCCAGGCTAGTGGGCCTGGGCAGGAGGATCACGGGCGGGCGGGCGGGGAGGCCAGCGGCTGCCTTATATGGCCAGCCACTGCCTGTGGGGCTTGTGTTTAGAAACAGACGGCAGGGTGGGTGGGGCAGCTGAGGGGGGAGGCGGCCCGGTGAGGGGGGAGGCATTCCTATCTCCTGAGAGGGCAGCCTCCACCTCATCTCCGTTCATCTCAAGCTCTGTCCTGGCTTGTCAACATGAAGTCTCCTCTGCCATAGGCTCTCCTGGGTGTTGAGAGCAAATGGTACAAGTTGAAGATGTGGGCACTGCCCGAAGCCTGGGCTGCCCTCCAGGGGCAGTAGGCTGGCCTGGCCCTGCCCTTACCTCCTCAGTCCTTCCCCAGGGCTGATGGAGGGCCAGGCTGGCCTAGGGATCAAAGGTGACCTCATAGGCTTGAGCGCTGCACAGGCTGTGTGTGAGCATTATTGTACCCAGAACCCCTGGCGTGCCTTCATGTGTGGCATCGTCCTGTAGGAGAGGTCTACGTCTCCAGTGTCCCGTCAAGCCCCTGATGAAGCTAGGGTCGAAGAGGCGGTGCATGGCCTAGGAGCCCTGGCTACGGGCCTGCTGCGTGATCGCCTTGGGCCGGTCCATACCTGGTGTGTGGCTAGCTTCAAGGAGTACGGTGCCCAGATATTGGTGTGGGGCCGCCGTGCCGTTGCCATTGGAGAATTTTCCGCATCACATCGGCCCTGAGGCACCTAGTGGAGCAATCAGTGTCCTGCTGTGCTGACTGTTGCCCTGGCTGCTGGAGCCATTGGCTGTCTTTCAGCTGTCGTCTGGGCCCACTGCCCCACACTTGGCATCCTGACCTCTGTCCTTTCTTGTCTATCCTGAGTTGTACTGTGAATGAAGCTCTAGGATAGCAGCCCTGGACGCTTCACAAAGACACAGTGTATGGCCACCTCCACCCACTGCAGAAAGGGCCTCTTGTCCCTAGAGGTGGAGTGGTGGGCCTCTATGGCTCAGGGCACGAGGCCTCCCCCTGTGACTCTTGACCCACACTCCTTCCCACATCCCCTCGAGGACCTAACTCATCGTCCCTGGTAGTGACTTCCCAGGCTGCCTGTTCCCTGTGCAGTGTCAACTGTAGGTCACCTGTGGATCGAAATTCTGCAGCCCAGGACGCCTGTGTGCCCTCAGAGCTATCCAGGGCCCCTAGGACCACTAAGCTTGTTCCAAGGGGCTTGTCCCTCCCTCCCGGGCCTGGTCTCGGCTTTAACTTAATGCCTAGCCTGGAGGATGTGAGAAGGGACCCTGGGTCGTGTCCGTCATAAAGTGGGTCGTGGTCCAGGGCCAGGAGTTGCTGAAAGGATGACCTGTGCACCCTTGGCAGTCTGCTTACCCTGCCTGACACCACCACCACCACCACCACCACCACACACACACACACACACACACACACACACACACACACGGATTCACACAGACACATACACTCACCCTCACATACATACACAGAGACACATACACTCACATACATACACACACGAGACATATACACACACGCACAGACTCACATCACACAGACGCACTCACCCTCACATACACACACACACACATACACAGAGACATATACACACACACGCACAGACTCACACACATCACACAGACGCACTCACCCTCACATACACACACACTCACACTTTGTCCTTGGGGAAGGGCTCCTGGCCAACAGGTAGAAGTCAAAAGACGGCATTGCCTCGTAGCAGAGCTCTGCTCAGTTATGGAAACAGGTTGATACCCAATGAGGCCCAGGGTGTGTGTGTGTTTTTTTTTCCCATAAGGGGCTCATAAGACTAACTGTCTTGTGAGTTACCAAGGCCTGGGTGAGGGGCTGTGGCCAAGGGTGGAAAAGCCCAATCTACTTACTGTCTTGTGGGATAACAAATTCTGCTTTTGTAGTCTGAACCTTGCAGGGCTAACCCAACCCTACTTCATCTCTGAGCCCGGCTCAGACTGGAGCGCTATCTGACCCTGAACTTAGCCGTAAACATTGTGTCTCTAAGGCTCTGTAAGGCTCTGCTCAAATTTTCCTCTTTTTTGGAGCAGGGTTTCTTTCTCAGTGTAGCCCTGGCTGGCCTTATAATCAGAGATCTGCCTGCCTGCCTCCTGAGTGCTGGGATTAAAGGCGTGCACCCCATGCTTAGGTAAATCCCCCCTTGATTGTTTTCCCAGACTGTCCACTTTGAACTGGGAACGTTCAGCTCAGCCATCATCTGCTCCACACCCTACTGATCTGCTGGGGGTTGCCTCAGCATGGAAGCCCCCAAGATAAAGGTCCCAGGTCCTATAGACCCAGTCTGTCTCCCATGGTTGCTGAGTCCTGTTAGCCAATCAAGGTTGGTCAACTGACTCAAAGCCTCTGGACTTATCAAGGGGCAAGACACTCCCCATCCAACCTGACTCCTGTCTGTGGCCCTTGGGTCTCCCTTAGATTGTTTCCCGGGTCACAGCCTCCTGTGCTTTGATTAGGACAGCAACACCTCCTTGGCAGAAGGCTGACTTGCAGCGCCAGCCCTGGGGGCCCACAATGCATCCCTTGGTGCAATGCTGGTTCACCTGTTGGAAGCTCCTGGGCCCAGACAGTCCGCTTCTCCTAAGAGTACACCTCCTCCTTAGCCACCCTTGAGCTGTGTACCTAATGCTGGGCCTCCAGATGAGGGGTGGGTAGCACAAGGTTCAAGGTACACCTCTGCCTCTTACATTGTCTCAGGCTCCTGGGCCTCCTGACTGTACTGTCCCTGCTTCCTCCCTCCGCCTGGTCTGCATCCTGGGAGCAGGCAAACTGCCAGGGGTCCGCAAGGAGAAGCGCTCCCTGCCCGCCACTCTCAACGCTGCACACAGGTCAGGAAACGAGACGCTATGCCCGGCTTGTACATCAGAGGCCAAAGGGGATGGGTTGGCAAACACCCTGTGGACTTGAGGCTAGCCTCAAGTCTTGTTTGGTAAACTGAATACGAGGTCCTTAGGGAGGGGCCTCCATCAGGCCCAAGCTCCTGAGGTCACAGGAACATCTGGGAGATGTCAGTGCCCAATGTCCACAGCTGGCCTTGCTTGAACCAAGCACATAGTGTGGGAGAGACATGAGCAGCAGAGAAAAAGCCAAGCCTAGACTCTGCTATGTGGGTCGTGGTTGGAGAAACCTAAGGACGGGATGCAGGGTTGGGGATTTGACCTGACAGGCAGTCTGCCTGCCCTTCGACATGCAGGGATGTATGCTCATCTCTGGATATACACCTCAGGTTGGTGGTGAGTCATCTCCCTGTGGAGACGAGACAGGGATTGCCTCATGGCTTAGGGAGAGTGTCATGTCATGTGGCAAATGCCACGGCTATTACTGCCGCCTGCTCGAAGAAGCTCTCCTTAAGGAGGGGAAAGTGGGCCGGCAAGATGGCGCAGCGGTAAAGTCAGGTCTTGCTACCAAACTTGGAGCAGCTTACTTCAGTCTCTGGGACCCACATGGTGGATGGAGAGAACCAGTTGGGTCTGATTTCCACAGGTGCACCATGGGACATGCCCTCTCCCTGCAAAATAAGTAAGCAGTAAAAATGTGAGTGTGTGTGTGTGAGCGTGTTTGAGTGTGAAAACTAGAGAACAGCCACAGCTATCTTTGGGGATGCCACCCGCCTCCTTTAAGATATGTTAAGATACGGTCTCATCCGGTGAGCTTGGCTGGCCAGGAGTCCCATGTGTCCCCTCTAACACTGGGGTTATAAATGTCACCACACCTATCGGTTTCAGATTGATTCTGGCATTCAAGCAGAGACAAATGTGTTAGCAGCTGAGCTGTCCCCAGCTCAGCCCTGTCTTGTCGCTGTTTCAGGATCTAAGGCCGGAATTTGGGTTCCACCTCTGGTCCATCCTTGTGGTCCAGGCAGCAGGGTTAACCCTTGCAGGCACTCTCAAGGCCTTTGCATTTTGGGGCCCTTGAGTCACCAGGACCATGGGAGGGAAAGTCAGGGCGTTGGTTGCGTGTGCCTTTCTTGTGTGCTGAAGCTGACTAGCTCTGCCTTGGCTGGGTGTGAGCTGACAGCCTCTCTCTTGACCTCTACGATTTCCCAGGAAGTGTACTCCCTAGCTGCTGCTGCGGACATGCTGGATAACAAGTAATCCCAAAGGGGTGAGAACAGCAGACAGACCTGCGCTTGAGAGGCTTAGGGTAGCAGAGCCATGTCAGCTTGCTGCTGCTGGCTGCGTCTCCTGCTGGGACTTGTGCCAGCGTCATGAGCTTAGGTACAGAGGTCCCAGCCCAGTGCACTGGGTTTCATTGTGTCCAGAGATGCTCCACTGGTCACTGGTTAAAGCATACCCTGGCCTGGAGCAGAGAGAGACCCTGAGTATAAGAAGGAACAGCAGGCCACTGGTTGGGAGGACAACGGAGCCAAGCCCTTCCTGTCCTTCCCAGCCCTGGGACGCAGCTGCAGAAGCCAGCAGCCTGTGACCAGGCCACAGAGCCTGTGGGCTCTGCACAGGGGTCATCAGCAAATAACACCGCATCCATGCAGAGCAGCCTGGCCAGCCTGCTTGGAGTCTGCTGCCAGGACGAGGGCGTTTCAAAGTCAGGCTGCCTCCAAGGCGGGAGCTTCAGCGGGAGGGAATAACTTGGCTCCCACCAGGCTGAGAATAGCTCAGAATTGGGTCACGCTCACCAAGCACTCCGGTCACAGCCTCCAGCCTTTGACAATAATCAGCTTTTTCCCTACATCTGTCCCTTCACAGAGGGGGAGGCAGTCATGGGCATGTTTTTAGGACAATGTGGGAGGAAGCTGGTTTTGATGGACAGCTGCACATAGACCGCCCCTTTCCCAACACACACACACACACACACACACAGGCAACTTCAAGCCCTCCTGCCCATCCTGTCCCTCTCCCCATTCCCAGGACTCCTCAGACTCTCGCAGGTGAGGATAGAGGTTGTCTGGAGGCCAGAGTGTGGATCTGTCCCTGCCTCTGGGCAGCCTAGCCTTTTGTGTCCCTTTTGTGAAAGCTG